CGGGGGGGGGGCCAAATCCATTTTTTTTTATTTTTAATTTTTAAAATTAATTTTAGAGAGGAAGGGAGAGGGAGAGAGAGAGTTTAGAAACATCAATGATGACAAAGTATCATTGATCAGCTGCCTCTTGCATGGCCCACACTGGGTATTGAGCCCACGACCCAGGCATGTGCCCTGACCAGAATCGATCCTGTGACTCCTGGTTCATAGGTCGATGCTCGACCACTGACCCACGCTGGCCGGGCCGAAACCATGCTTATGGAGAGCCGCCCAGACACACTCAGGCGGCATCGGAACATGGTGGGACTTGGTAAGGAGTGTGTGTTGGGGGGTTGGGGGGAAGGGGAGACGCACATTCTGGGCCCTGGGAGGGTGGACGCTGCTCTCAGAGGCCTGGACTAGATGGGGCGGGAGACCGAGTGACCGCGCCCTTTGCCATAAGGGATCGCAGCCCTCTTTCTCCTCTTCTCCATCGGAAGCACAATGTGTCTTTTCTCTGCCCCAAGAGGGTGGGCAGGGAGGACCCAAAGGTGCTCTCAGGGTCTTCTGGAACCTGGATTTCGGTGGAGGCTCGTCATCGGCCTTTTTCCCGCGGGTGGGCAAAGACCACCCGGTATCGGCACAGTCTGCGGACTTTTAGGTTACCGCGGGGAGTGGGGGCGTGGGGGCGGGCCTCGGCCTCCGGCCTCCCTACCGACAAAAGAATGCAAGTCGAGGCTCCAGCATGGCGCGTCCCCTGCGGGCCCTGAAGCCCAGAGGGAAGCACAGAGAGCGTGTCACGGGCAAAGTGAATCCTCGGAGCAAGCGCGCAGCCGCCGTGAGCCCCACTCCGGGGCACTTCCCCTTTTTCAACTCAAGAACAAAAGTTTTTCATAGTTACAATAAAGCCTCGGGCCGAGTTCTACGCCCAAGATGGCCAGTTGGAAAGGGCTTTCCCGTGCTGATGTGGCTAGCCCCCATTCGCTAGCTCACTGCGGTCAGGCTCTCCGCCTCTTTCCCGTTCTGCGCATGTACCCGGCTGCCTGCCCGCAGGCGCAGAGCGCCATCACCTCTATGGTCTGCATGTCTGATAGAGTGTCCACCCGCCCTCGCCAGGACTCTATGGTTCCTACGCGCGAAGAGAGGCGGCCTATATAAAGCATGCGCAGGCGTGGGAGCGTCTCTTTCCCTTCGGCGTGGTGAGTAGTGGCGGGTGCCCGTTCCCGCCGTGCCCTCGCCGCTTCCCTCCCGTGGTTAGAACCTTGTCATCGTCTTCTGACTATTTCTGTTTCGTTGCAGCCACTGAAAATCCTGGTGTCGCCATGGGTCGACGCCCCGCCCGGTGGTGAGTATTGAATCCATGTAATTTGGCTGCCTACGGCACTCGTGGGGTGGAGCCTCCCTAGTACATACAGCTTTCCCTATTTTGGGAATGGACTCCATCGTTCTCCCCTATATCTTCCGGATCGCTTTAGGTCTTCGTTTAGATCATGTGGTTCTTTAACTTAAAACTTAATGCCGATCTTTAAGCGCTTCCACAATTTTATTGGGGTGTTGTGTTGACCCTTTGCTGCATTTCCGAGCCAGTTTCAGGCTGGAAGCGACGTCTGCCTTGCATCCCGCCCTTTGTCCTGGAAATTGGCCGCCTTTTGAAGGCTCAATGCCTTCTGGGCCTTTGTGTGCCTTTCCCTTCTTATTTCCGGGCTTCGGGTTCTGGGAGCCCAAGTCTTGTGTGGCCTGCAGAGGGCGCCGGGAGTCCTTCACGCGGCTTGGAGGCCAAATGCCACGTGCCCAAAAGTCTAGGTGGATGGCATAAACTGTGCTACTTTTATGCAACAAATATGTAGTATACAGTGTCTGGAAGTGAGAGGTGTTTTTTAACTGGGAAAGTCTGTTTCAAAGGATTGGCCTTGTAAGAAGTTTAAAACCCAGTAAGGGGTCAAGAAAGATTTTTGCCTACATGGTTGTCCTCTAACGTTTGGCCACCTAGTTGTGACTGTCTTGCTTTAGCGCCATGCCAGATATGGAGGTAGCTTACCGATTGGCTTGTGCCATCCCCTCCTTTGGTCGTGGAGGGAGCACTGAAGTGCCTATTGACCAGTTAACTTGTGAATCCCTGAAAACCTGGGTTTCTCCCCCCTCCCCCTCCGCAGTTACCGGTATTGTAAGAACAAGCCGTACCCAAAGTCCCGCTTCTGCCGAGGTGTCCCTGGTAAGTCGCAGAAGAGCTCCCCAACTGGTTTGGCTGCACTGACTCAGTTGTTGAGGGCACCCCACACACAACTGACCCAAGCATTTTTTCAGACGCCAAGATCCGCATCTTTGACCTGGGGCGGAAAAAGGCGAAAGTGGATGAGTTCCCACTCTGTGGCCACATGGTGTCAGACGAATATGAGCAGCTCTCCTCCGAAGGTGAGGTGCAGGATTCCTGGTTAATCACACCTATTCCTACGCGCTCCCCCAGCCAAATCCGGAGCTCACTGTACTGGAATTACCAGTTCCCGTTCCTTAGTCATGAACACCCAATTGTGAGCCATGGTGAGTGCTTCTGTGCCATCCTTACTCTGCTGCCTTCCTTCCCCCCATCTAGCCCTGGAGGCTGCCCGTATTTGTGCCAACAAGTACATGGTGAAAAGTTGTGGCAAAGATGGCTTTCACATCCGAGTGCGGCTCCACCCCTTCCACGTCATCCGCATCAACAAGATGTTGTCCTGTGCTGGGGCTGACAGGTGAGCTGGGGGATTTTCACATAACTTGAGGGTCTCTGTTGAGCTTGATTATAGTAGTAGAGCAAAGAGATGGCCCCACATAAAGACTCATCCATCCATAGCAAAGCCAGCTTAATGGCCGGCAAGATATCGTGGGCACTAATTTTTCTGCTACTATGCAGATGAGCTGAGACAAAAAGGGCATTATGACAAGGGCTTAGCCTCTGGGCAGCAGGTGGAGGAAGTAGCTTTGAGCCTGGTGACAGCCATCTGCCAGCAAGTACTTTGCTGGGGCAGTTGCATGTTGGAGGGCTTTCAAATGAGCCCAGGGGGCACTTTGGCAGGGATTCTGTTGAGTCTGTTTTGGGGTTCGCTGCAGCCAATTAAGCCGACCATGCTCTTTTCCCCATGGGGGCCTGGTGTGCAATGGCTGCAAACAGCAGCATCCTTGGTAGTGTACGCAACCTGAGATGGCTTTCACATCCGAGTTCGGCTCCACCCCTTCCACGTCACCCCATCAACAAGATGTTGTCCTGTGCTGGGGCTGACAGGCTCCAAACAGGTATGCGGGGTGCCTTTGGAAAGCCCCAAGGCACAGTGGCCAGAGTCCACATTGGCCAAGTCATCATGTCCATCCGCACCAAGCTGCAGAACAAGGAGCACGTGATTGAGGCCCTACGCAGAGCCAAGTTCAAGTTCCCTGGCCGCCAGAAGGTAACAAGTGCCATAACCTTGATCCCTCCTTTCCTTGCCTCCCCCCAAATATGTAAACTCAATTCTTTGTTTTTTCCTCAGATCCACATCTCCAAGAAGTGGGGCTTTACTAAGTTTAATGCGGATGAGTTTGAAGATATGGTGGCCGAGAAGCGCCTCATCCCAGATGGCTGTGGGGTCAAATACATCCCTAATCGTGGTCCCCTGGACAAATGGCGAGCCCTGCACTCGTGAGAGTCTCGGTGCTGCCCCCACCTTACACCCACCAATAAATCAATTTTTCAGCCCTATCTTTGCATCTGGATTCATGGGGGATGGGGGAGCCTCTGGGAACCCCAGGATCACTGTCCTTTGTCCTCCAGGAAAAGGCTGACAACAGATCAGGGCCAGGGAACAAATAAGCCCAGCACAGCAGCCCAGATAGGACATTGCCTTCCACCTGCCTAGACCAGGGTTTGTAGGTTCGAAGCCTCAGGCCATGGGTAAGTCCTAATGCCTTGAATGCTGCCTTTATAAAGTGCCCTTCCCATGGGGCCTGATAAAGGACTTGTGGCTTCAGGTGGCCCTTGCACTGCTATGGAATCTTTGCCCGTCAGCAGTGTCACGGAATGGGGAGAGTTTGGATCCCTCTGGGTGTGGTCACAGCCATGTTTTAACAGGTCCTCCAGTTTGCCCCCTTTGAAATGTGTCACAGGGGTTGGCAACAGCTGACCTTTGGGCAAATAGTGTGCAGCCCCAGACTGCAAATTTGCACTTAATGCCCCTAATGTCTTGGTAGCTGTTTTAATTTTTATTGAATTTTTAAGAGGCATATCAATTGATTGCTCTACTCATCCAAGCATTCACTGCTTGATTTTTACTGTGCCCTGGCCAGCTATCAAACCCACAATCTTTGCATATTGGGACGATGCTCTAACCATTTGCACTCCCTGGCCAGGGCCCTATGTTTTTACTGAACTCTGTTCTCTGGAAAATGGAACAGTTCTGGAGTTAGGCCCTTCTCTGACCTGTGTCCTGTTCATGCCCTCACATTGTCACAAAGCAAACATGCTTAAGTTCAGAACTTGTAACAGTTGCAACTATTTGTTACATCAGAGCTGGCTCATGTATTTTCTGCATCTGTAGCCTTGGTAACCACTCCCTGGGGCTGCATCCAGGATCTGCAGAACAGCAGGAAGGCCAGCCCCACTCAGTGCTAGCTGCCCTGGGAGCGGGGGTGGAGTCCCTGAGAAACGCACTGGCCACTGAGCAACAGTGGGTGGCACGGGCCTGCAGAGCAGCGGGACTAGAAAAGACCTGGGAGCCCTAGCTGGTTTGGCTCAGTGGATAGAGCATCGGCCTGCAGACTGAGGCTCCTGGGTTTGATTCCAGTGAAGGGTATATACCCAGGTTGTGGGCTTAATCCCCAGTGGGGGTGTCCAGGAGGCAGCCGATGAATGATTCTCATCCGGTGCTGTCCCCACCCACACTGCACCCATTTCACAGAGGAAGAGACTCAGGCCAATGATGGGAGGAACTTGTTCCATGTCTCTGCACCTGTGTCCCTTGATGTCCCCTTCTCTGGGACATGCCCTGAGGGGTCAGGCAGGGCTCGGGCTTTGGCTTGAGATCCTCAGGAGTGCAGCTTCCCTACAGTGACAAACCTACCAGAACTAAGGCAGACATCACGTCCGCCCTGGCCACCTTGCCAAGCGTCAGCCTCTGGGCACTGAAGGCACAGATGCGAAAGGCCTCAGCCACCCCAACCAGGAGCAGGAGCACAGCTGGGCAGGAATCCAGGTCGCCCCAGGGTGGAGTCCCAGCTGGGCCTGCTTGTGGTTTCAGAAGGACCTGGGGTTCTGGACAGAGAAAGGGAGGCTCACCCTGCTGCCCAGCACCAGCCCCCAGAGCTGCCAGCCTCGAAGATTCCTGTCTTTTCTTCCTGTGGACACCTGAGGTGGGCACATATGGCTCGGCCTCATGCTCTTAATGGTGACAAAATACACATAGCATGGAATTGAGCATCTTAACCAGTTTAGTGGCGTCAAATACACTCATCTTGTGCAACCATCACCACCCTCCATCCCCAGAACTTTTTCATCTTCTAAACAGAAACTCTGTCCACATGAAACACTAACCCCCCATTTCCCCTCCAGAGCCCTGGCACCAGCCACCCTACTTTCTGCCTCTATGAGCTTCCCTACCCCAGGGACCTCACAGAATGACATCATTGTCCTTTTGTGTCCGGCTTATTTCACATCGGATAATGTTCTCAAGGTTCATCCATGTTGTAATGTGTGTCAAAATTTCCCTCCTGTTTTGTTTTTTTTTAAGCCCACAGCACCCGGATTCTCCTATCCAACTACTAACCAGGCCTGACCCTGCTTAGCTTAGGAGGTCAGACCAGATCAGAAGGTCAGGAGTGTTCAGGGTGGTGTGGCGGCAGACAAATCTCCTTCCTGGTTCAGGCTATGTTCCACCGTATGGACAGACCACGTGTTGCCCACCCATTCCTCTATGAACGGACACTTGGGTTGCGACCATCTTTTGGCTACTGTGAGTGATGCTGCTACAAACGTGGGAGTACAAATATCTTTCAGGTTCCTCCTTTCAGTTCTTTTGGGTCTGTACCCAGAAGTGGAATTGCTGAGCCTTATGGGAACTCTGTTTAATTTGTTGAGGAAGTGCCCTGCTGTCTTCCATAGCGGCTGCACCAGCTTCCAGTCCCAGCAGCTGGTTGACCCCAGCTTTTCACCACCATTACGAGGGCCATCTTCACAAATATCTTGCTCAACTCCTTTTTTAAAAAAAAAATTATTTTTTAAATTGATTTCAGAGAGGAAAAGAGAGAGAGAGAGAAAAACATCAATGATGAGAGAGAATAGTTGATCTGCTGTCTCCTGCATGCCCCACACTAGGAATCCAGCACACAACCTGGGCATGTACTCTGACCTGGAATCAAACCATGACCTCCTGGTTCATAGGTCATCACTCAACCACTGAGCCCCCCTGGCTGGGCTTTTTTTTTTTTTCCGCTCCACTTCTCAGATGTTACCGTTTTTTTTATTTTTTTAAGTATATTTTTATTGGTTTGAGAGAGAGAGAGGAAGGGAGAGGGAGAAATAGAAACATCAATGGTAATAGAGAACGATTGATTGGCTGCCTCCTGCACACCCCCTACTGAGGATTGAGCCCACAACCCGGGCCTGTGTCCTGACTGGGAATCAAACCATGACATCCTGGTTCATAGGTTGAAACTCAACCACTGAGCCACACCAAACAGGCTGTTTTTAAAAATTTTTATTGATTTTATATAGAGAGAAACCTTGATTTACTGTTCCACTTAATTATGCAACCATTGGTTGATTCTTGTATGTGCCCTGGCCGGGCGGGGATCAAACCCGCAACCTTGGCGTAGGATGATACTCTAACCAACTGAGCTACCCAGCCAGGGCACTAGCTGCTTTTACTGACCTCTGTTCTCTGGAAAATGGAGCGGTTCTGGAGTTAGCCAGGTCCCTCTCTGACTTCATGTCCTTTGCAGGTGACCTGTGCATGCTCTCCCACACTGAGGGACTGTCCTAACACACCCCAAGGAAACCTGCGTGTTCCATTTGTGGGCGTGTAACATAGGGACACAGTGACCATCATTTAATACAACTGCTTCACAAAGCAAACATCATGCTTAAAAAAACAGACTTTCTTACAGTTAAAGCTACTACATGACAGCCGGTTCATATATGTTCTGTGCATCCGTAGCCTTAGTAACCACTCTGCCTGGGGCCACACTCTATGAATGTGCCAACGTGGACTGACTGCAGTTCATGGGCTTTGCCACAGGCGTTGGGTGTGTTTGCAGCTATTTTCATTAGATCACACGAGTTTTAGTGCATCAGCCATTTTTTCGTGTGTGTGTGTGTGTGTGTGTGTGTGTGTGAAGTGCTTATCTCCATTTTTGTATCTACTGGGATCTTCACGCTGATTCACGTGAATCCCATGTACAATACAGGTGGCCCAGTGACATATCTGTTCCACACGTGTAGTGTCCCTCCTATCTAGCTTTTCGTTCTCAGTTTGTATGTGTTTCCTTTTTGTCATTATTTTTCATATGTTGTGATTCCCTTTTCTAAGCCCCTTTCCGCTCCCCCAGCCTCGGGGCCCCTGCCTTCCTCTTACACACTCTCATGCCAGGCACAGGCTCAGCAAAAGAACACAAGCCAAACCAAAGAAAAGGCAGAGGGCTGCAGTCCAATAGGGCAGGGCTGGGCAGGACCGGATTGGGCAGGACTAGGCAGGGCTGGGCAGGGCTGGGTTGGGCAGGGTTAGGCAGGGCCGGGCTGAGCAGAGCAAGGAAGGGCAGGGCTGGGCAGGGACAGGCTGGGCTGCAGTTGAAGCCCTTCAGGAGTCGCTTTGGCTGCAGGGCAAAGGACCAGGAGAGGCTGGGGTTTGAGTCCTGAGGGCAGTGTAGTCAGTCATCACCTCTGCGGGCAGCAGACACCAGGGTGGGTGAGGTTCAGGCCCCCAGACCCAGCTGTGGGGGCAGGAGCAGCAGCAGCAGCAGGGACAGCAACAGAGTGGCCAGGCTGAGGGGCCGGGTCCCATGCCCCGCCCGGCTCAGTCTCAGGCTCAGGCTCAGCTCCACCTCCACGGGGTAGTGGTCACTGACGTTGAGGGCCTGGGGTGGACAGAAGGACAGTGTCAGGGTCGAGGGACTTCCCCGTGGCCATTCCCGCTGCCTCGTTTTACCTGCTCCTCGGTGAGCCGGAAGCTCCGAGGGAAATTGAAGGCAGCAGCTGTATGCAACAGCCTCCGGAAGCGCTCCCCGTGCAGCACGATGCGGTCATAGGCACAGTTGGTGCTGGCGCGCACCGTGGTGTCCTCGCCATCGGCGATTGCCCAGTAGAAGTCGGCCTGAGTCCGCAGTATCAGCTCCTCCAGGCGCTTTTTGGCCAGTGAACTACAGTCAGCATTGAAGTCCCCCAGCAGGATTATGTCCTGGAGAGGGCGCAGCTGTTGTGTCAGGCCACCACGCCATCCGGTCTCCCTCTCCCCCATGCAACCTGCCCAGCCCTACCCCGCCCTTTTTTTTTTTTTTTTTTTATTAAATACATTTTATTGATTTTTTACAGAGAGGAAGGGAGAGGGATGGAGTTAGAAACATCCATGAGAGAGAAACATCGATCAGCTGCCTCCTGCACATCTCCCACTGGGGATGTGCCCGCAACCCAGGTACATGCCCTTGACCAGAATCGAACCCGGGACCTTTCAGTCCGCAGGCCGACGCTCTATCCACTGAGCCAAACCGGTCAGG